TTTTAGAAGATTTGGGTAGTGTGGTGAAACTGATTTGTGTTAAATGGCAAGGGTGGATAAATAAGCGAAAAATAGGGGTCGAGTTTATTTCAAAAATATATATATAGGGGTAGAGTAGGGGTGATGACAGGCACACCATGAGCACCAACTCCATTGTTTTAGTAAGTAATAGAGATTTTACTAACTGGAAATATATGCATAATATGTGATTATATGACGATAAGATCATGGATGTTTTGGAGAAGCGGTGCATGCTGGGATGCCTCATGAATTGAGCATCATGATTCTCATTTAGGCTATATGAAATTAAGAATCAACATATCTAAACCAAAACAAACAGTAAAACACATTAACTGCAGGTTTGTAGATGATTTACTGAGGAGATAATTGATTGCAGGGCCTTTTTTTCTTGTAGAGAAGTGCCGTACAGCCCACCAAGAACACCAGAGGCAGCAACTCCAACTGTGCCAAGAAAGTCAACCAGTGGATTCTCTGGAGGTTGTTCTTGAACCAACTGTAAGGATGATTCACGCTGACGAGCTTCAGGAGTAGTAGTTTCAACCTGAGTTCCTTCAGGTTGAGTGTTTTCAGGTTTTGCAATACCCTTTGTCCCTTCAAATTGAGGGACATTCTTTGTCTCTACAGACAGAAGAAATTTATCAACAATTTATCTATGCTTGTGGAATGATGACACAGGCATAAATAAGTGCTCGATGATCAATGACCAGGAAAAAACTCATTGAAAATATGCATAATTATATATCAATTCCCTAATGTCAATGAGGCAGCACCGCCAACTTAGTTAAGTCAAAACAATCTCATCTCAAAGCAAAATGTATTAGTGACCCCCATGGCCCCATGCCAGTTTACAGAATACAGCATATCTAGATGGTCAGTTCAATCCATTCATGTGGCTATAAGCAGTCAAAAGAACTGTGCAAGTATGACAAAAAAAAGTCTATAGGACAACAAATCTGAAAGTCACGTGTTATGGTAGTTTTCAAAAGAATTTGTGGTAATTCCATAAAAAAAAGAATTTGTGGTAATCATAACTCCTATCTTTCACACATACTACTCATATAAGGTGGAAGTTCTAACCATCAATCTTATCCTCCTTAGGTCTACAGATGATGGAATTACGTCCAATCTTGAAAGTTTCGTAGCAATTCTCAGCTTCATGATTTACCCTTGGGGAATCAATCCCCTTTCTTCTAACAAACCCTTCGAATAATGACACACCATAAACTGCGGGAAATTGAGAAAAGGTGACATCTGATCATATGTGGTAAACAAACTCAAATACCACTAGGAACATTTATGTGGATAATGAGTACACTATTCCAATTCTAGATTTCTTTTTCCACCAGAATATTAACCTCCAAGGAAGACAGTCATACACTAATTCAAGACTGCGTGTTTGTGTTTCACGAATTTCCTGCGACACCTGTTGTCAATAACATAAAGAACTAGGGGCCTGAATACCAAATTAAGAAGTTGCACACATGGAATTATAACTATTAGGCAGCATTTGAAACAGTATGTTACTACATAAACTCCAAACTTTTAGTTCTTTCATCAGTATGAGTGATGCTCCCCAGTCCCAACGCTCAAGATGCATGCAACCATTAAGGAGCTAATGGGTTTTGACGTGTAAAATCTGACATAAAGTTGATTTAAAGTTTCAATTTCTTCAGAAGCAAACTCAATTCTGGGAACAGTTTTAGCGTCTACTAATTCTTCTTCATACATGCATGCCCTGCTCCAGAAAGGAAAATCATGCCTGCCACAAACATCAAAGTTGCTTAGAGCATACTCCTAGATGGATTCAATACCCAGCGTATTCTAAACTCTTGTATCCACTGTTTGAACAACAGTTGCAAATCCTCATTCTAGTCGGCAGATGCACATTTGAGCCAAGCCCAAACAATTCATGCATTGTTATATAAGGCCACAATGCAGCACTATATATATGTATATAGCAACAATGTCCTCTGCAGAAACGACATGTCACCTTGATACTCTCATGCTCCTATATTGCAGAACACTTAACAATTGTTAATATCAATCCACATAATTGCATACGGATTTAACTCGCAACATTACTCCACAGCATGACTAGGACCCAAGTTAAGACGGACGATTGACAGCGAATTGCGAAACCAAATTTTACACCAGCACTGGCAGGGAATAGGATAGGCACTAACCCTTCACGAGGTCCACGGGCGTGGGCGCGGCAGCAGCTTCACGGAGGCTGACGAACGGTATGGCCGAGGCGCCGAGGAGCACCACCCGCCGCGCCAGCACGTAGGCATCGGCGGCCGCCGCCGCCGCGGGAGAAGGACCGCCATCGAGCGGCGAGGCGGCCGACGCAACGACGAAGGCCCCGCCTCGCCGCGCGCGGCGACGGCAGGCGGTGGCGCCCGAGGAGGAGGAGGCGTATTGGAAGGCGTGCGGCGGAGACGGCGACGGTGACGGCGAGAGGACGAGGTAGCCCATCCCGCGCTGGAGAAGAGAAGCCCTAGCTAGCTCACTGTCCCAGCGCTCGCCTCCAGTCCAGCGTGCTAGCGCGTTCGAAGTTTTGGGGGAGGCAGTGGAAGTGGCTCAGGCTGTGGCGACGAAGGCGCGGATTAGGAGTCAGCCATCGCGACGGAGACGGGGGCGAAAGGCCGAAAGCGCACGCGGCGAGTAAAGCGAGCGGGTGGTGGGTCACCACCGGAGAAAGGACATTTTTGAGGCGTGAAATTACTCTTCTGTCCCCTCATCTCTACTTTTCGCCAGAAATCACGAGGCGCGATGCCGAGGGTGATTTGGGGTGTTAGCGAGTGGGGAGCCCCCGGCCTTGTGCGTAAAAGGGGGGCGGGGCAGGAAATGACAAATGCACCCTGCAGGAGGTTTATGTCGTGGGCTAAGGTGGCTGTATGCCAAGGGCTCTTCCGGTATTTTGTGCGGTCGGGGAGGGGGACAGGTCCGACGAGCAGGCTGATCTGGAGTGTGGGTGTGAGATTCGGCCATGTGGTTGAGCGGGCCTCAGCCACTAGGGCCGTGGGTATAGTTGACCATGCAGCCCGAGGCACGACGGCACGGCACGAAGCCTGCTTTTTTAGCTTGACATGAGCACGGCACGGCCCGGTGACATGTGGGCCCGAGGCTGCAGGCCGTGCCTGGGCCGCTGCTCAAGCCCATGGGGCGCACGGCACGGCCCGGCCCGCCCGGCTCACAACCAATGGTCCCGGCAGCCGGCCTGCCACCCCCTCCCCCTCACTCCACCTCCCTCCTCATGGCCTAGCGCGTCGGCCCCATCCCACCGTCCCCGCCTCCCCCCCTCAATCCTCATATATAAGCGGAGCCAAGACGCCAGCAGCCTGCCATGGCCGGCTTCTCCAAGCAGCTCAGAGCCCCATGCCCCCACGCCCCCACCCCCGGCCCCGAACCCTAACTCCCTACCTCTCCCTCCCCCCTGCTCCTCCCACAGATCCTCCTCTCCCCACGCCCGCACCCTCCTCTCCCCCACGCCATCGTGGCGGCCCAAGACTCACCCTCTCCTCTCTCTCGTCACAGACGACACACCACCCGGCAGCACTCCAAGACTGAAGGCCACTGCACAGCGTGCCCCTACGGCCCTACCTCCTCTTGCTTGCCATGCCATGTCAGGGCGTCGGATGCGGCTGGATCCGCCACGGCCCTCTTCCTCGCTCTTCACCCCCACGCCTGAAGTCATGCGACCCCAGTAAGCAGATCTGCATGGAACAGATCCAGCTGGCTCTGCTCAAGCGTCCCCACCGCCTTTCTACGGCCTCCCGCCTCGTCCACTTCTCAGACCAAAACTTCCTCTCCATACCCTTCTCTCTCGCACGGGATCCGGCCGAGCACCGCCACCGCCTCCCACCTCTCTCTCCACCCGCCGCCACCCGCCACCACGCCACTACTGAGGCGACGACGACGCCCGTTCCCTCTCGTCGGGTCATTGGTCGGCACGACGGCTCGCTAAGACGCTGGGCTTTTTAGGCCGGCCCGATCGAAAAATGGCCCGACAGTCGCGTTCGGGCCGTTAGCGAGCCCGGCCGCCCGGTTCGCCCCGGCCGGAGGCACGGCGTGCCATCTTGCACGACGACCACCTGGGCCGCGTGCTGGCCTGCGTTTAGGCCGTGCCGAGCCGGCCCAGCCCGATGGCCAAGTATAGCCGTGGGAATCTTAAAGCCCAACTCATGCGGTTGTCTCTATTGGGTCTCGTATTCGGTCTTTTTATTGGGCCTCGTAATTTGTTGCAGCTTTTTCATTTGTTTCTGTTTGGGGCTATTACTAGTTACTAGAAACGAAATTACATGGCGGCGGGGCGCGAGCGGGTCCTTGCCGCGGTGCCGAGGTGCCGGCGTCGCTCGGTCGGCTGGGTTCCACTGCTCCGGAATGTTGACGCTCGCTCGTCGCTCTATCTAGGCCGTCTCCTTCCTCGACGAATGAATGGATGACGCCGTCTCCTTCCGTGAAGATGACTTTACTTTAGGACGGGCTGGACTCAGGGCTAGACGGACGGGCTGGGTCCAAGCGTGGCCTAGATAGAAAATAATTAGCAAAAAAATTAATTACCTTATTTGGATGCTTTAAAATTCATGTAAATCTTTGAGGGAGGAGTACTGGAGCAGATGCCTAAATTCAGAGGGTTTCAAAAATGCATTCTAGAATATGCTAACGATCAAAAGATAAACATTAAAGACATCAAATATATCTACTAGACTACTACGTACTTCTATGACCGGAGGTAGTAGTATCTATCTAGAACATATAGATGCATGCTGCCACCTTAATAGGGCGAAACTATCATTTTGTCTGCAGTCTGCACCTAAGTCAACCCTGCCAAATTTATTTGTTGTATATTATAATTATACAACGGATATTATACATAAAAAATCCTCTTATAAATATACCCTTAAATTCAGTCTCATATATGCCTCGTTCACTTCAAAGTTGATTTCACCTCTCCACTTCCTCTCTCAGACAAGGCCATGGAGCCCCAGAAGGGTTATCTCCGTCGTATTGCGTTCTTTGTCTTCGAGATGTGGCTTGCAACCGTCTTTGCTCTGCTTATCTTATTTGCGCTCGCGAGCATCGGCAGGTCCTTGGGCATGCTAGAAAAGAGCTACTACACCGGGATTGGAGTAGCTTCTCCGGGAGATAGTATCATATCTCAAGATTCTTCCGAGGTGAAATTTGTGTTAACATTTTTTTTAATTCCCATCATATATATGGCCAGCATTTTTCTTTCATTCTTCTGATGACTGTGAGAAGGAAGAAATATGGTGCTTGTATTTCTCAGATGGTTAAATTCAAACATCTAACTCTGCTAAATGCCTAAATGCTTAGATCTATATATCTTAAACCATCAGTAATATATTGTTCTCAAATATATCTTTAACTATCATTAGTAGGAAAACTTTGAAATAAATACTAAATCGGAGGTTTTATTCTACATCCAGTGTAGAACGTGGCAAACTGTATTTCACAACATCATGAGTTCTATCATACGCATTGATTATAGGTGTTACATATGATTTTTTTTTCTGGTGTGCTAAACATAACATTTAATAAAAAGGGAAGAAATTAAAGTTCTATCTCATGTACCATACAACTTTGGCATAACATCTAATGATCTAATGTCTTATGTTCATTGTCATAACACAACATCACAACAATCAATTGTCTTGGATATTAGAGTATAGTATAATACTACCTTGTCCTGAAATATTACAAATTCTAGATGTACAAGTGCTTGTTCAGGTACATAGCAAAATCCTTTTATATTTCAGGCGAGATGTAGTATCCTGCATTGTGGAGAGTACTGTACATTGCAAATAATAGCCTTATTCGTTTCTTATTGGAAGAACAAATGCACATTATATACTTCTAGTTAGCACTGTTTTCATTTTGTGGAAAATTGAAAATACAATTAGCAATATGCCTACTCCTACATACTCCCCCTGTTACATAATGTTTGTAAGTCTAGGATTAAAGGTTTTATTAAATTATCATATTGTCACGTTCCAAAGCATTATGAACTTCTTAGTCCCTACCCTTCATCGATGTACATACCACATCCAATCAAATCGGCAACCACACCACGTCTAGTGATGAAGTCATGCAAGAACTTTGATGTATTCCTTCTGTCCATAAAAGAATGTCCCAAGGGAATGCAATGGAGGAAAAAAAAAACCAGGGCACGTGCATAATTTTACATGCTCAATGATCTGTCCTCGAAAAGCTAGAGTTGCTTTCTCTCTTTAATACTCCTTGTCTTGTGTGAGATTAAAACAGAATGACAAATATTATGAAACAGAGGGAGAAGTTAACTTTAACCATTGCTGCAAAACTGGGGCCGTACAGCCAATTTCAGGAAATCTGAATGATTTTTGCTTCGCGTGAAAGCTGAATGCCAGAATGGCGAAACTGATGGGATCCTTCCTCAGTCTGAATTTGCAGATTTGGCCCAGATGTTGCCCAAGGTAGCCACCGACGACAGGACGGTGATCATCACGACGGTGAACGAAGCGTTCGCGCGTCCCAACTCGCTTCTCGGCCTCTTCCGCGAGAGCTTCCAGGTCGGTGAAGGGATCGGCCACCTCCTGGACAATGTCCTCGTCGTCGCCGTCGACGCCAAGGCGTTCAGCTACTGCAAGGCCGTGCACCCACACTGCTACCTCCGGCAGGTGAAGACCATGGACCTCAGCTCCGCCAACAACTACATGACCGAGGCCTACGTTGAGCTCGTCTGGACCAAGCTCTCCCTGCAGCAGCGCGTCCTCGAGCTCGGCTACAACTTCCTCTTCACGGTACGCGTCGGCACCAATCATCGTTGAATAATCCGAAGTTTCCTCCTGATCTGGGCTGACGGCGGCGGCGATTGTCCAAGATGTGCCGTGCAGGACGTGGACATCGTGTGGTTCCGCAACCCGTTCCGGCACATCAGCGTGTTCGCGGACATGACGACGTCGAGCGACGTGTTCTCCGGCGACGTCGACAGCCTGGACAACTGGCCCAACACGGGGTTCTTCTACGTGAAGGCGACGAACCGGACGGTGGAGATGCTGCTGTCAGAAACCGAACGGCGGCGAGAGAATGCGAGCAGCAGCGAGGAAACAAACAATGAACACGAGAGTTTGGTGCTGCCAAGGGTGCAGCGTTTTTTGGGATTGTATTGCTATTTATTGAATTACAAAGCAGAGAGATGCAAGCCACGACGCATACGGTTGCGCAGAGTGCGCACGTCCATCCCCATGCGCCGCAACAGCCGGCCATGGCTTGCATGCTCGAGTTCATGCCGAGCGATTCTCGTCCATGACTTCCTACGCACACAATAACCACAAGCCGGTCCTCGTGTGCATGCATGTGCTAAAAATAGATATGCTATACTGAAGATTACTCTAGGATTACTAACAAATTCTCCTCCTAATCCTAGTGTATATGTTGTACATCTACAACACCAATTCTGGAGCGCATCTCACAAAAGTGTTCACGCCCCAGAGCTTTAGTAAGAATGTCCGCCAGCTGCTCCGTTGTCCCAATAGACTGGAGCCTCACCCTGTCCTCCTAAACACATTCACGAATGAAATGATAACGAATGTCGATATTGAAAGGATCAAGATGCCCAAGAGGGGGGGTTAAATTGGACTAATTCTAAATTTTCTTGCAATAATCAAATCCTACGGATAGCCCAATTAACCCATTGTCCCTAGAAAAAGTGTTTCTATCAAATCAACGCACAAAAGACTTGCAACCTATGTTCCAAACTTACTCTAGCATAGCAATTCTATGAATATAAAGACGAGTATTGAATTGCTCAAAGTAAATACTTAAAGTAAATGCTCAAAGTAAATGGAGAGAGTAACGTGGCGATGTTTTGCCGAGGTATCGGAGAGTCGCCACTCTCCACTAGTCCTCGTTGGAGCACCCGCGCAAGGGTGTAGCTCCCCCTTGATCCGCGCAAGGATCAAGTGCTCTCTACGGGTTGATTCTTCGACACTCCGTCGCGGCGAATCATCCAAAACCGCTCACAACTTGAGTTGGGTCACCCACAAGCTCCGCCGGGTGATCACAAGCTCCAAATCACCACCAAGCCGTCTAGGTGATGGCGATCACCAAGAGTAACAAGCACGAACTCTCACTTGACCACGCGAAGCCTAATGAGAAGATGGATGCACACTTGTCTACTCTTGATTCACTAATGAGGTTTCACTCTTGGATTCTCAAATCACAAACACCTCACTAGGATCTTGCTCTTCTTGGCACTCACAAACGTGTTTCTCAGCTGTTGGAATGAGTAAAAGTAACTCCACACACGAGTGGAGCTTCTATTTATAAGGCAGCCTGAAAAAACGAACCGTTATGAGCTTCGCGGGATGACCGGACGCCTTTCCGATCGTATTGACCGGACGCCCGGTCGGTTCAATCATCATAGCAATAGTTTCAAGTGATGACCGACGACGCTGTGGTCCGGTCAAAAGACCGACCGAACGCGTCCGGTCGCTCTTAAAGCTTATCAGAATCGACCGGACGCTGGATACTCGTGGTCCGGTCACCACCGACCGGACCTGTCCGGTCACACTTTCTCAAGTCTGGACCCTTCTTTGAGTCGACCGAACGCTGGCCCCAGTCGTCCGGTCCACACGACCTTCCAGCGTCCGGTCACTCCGGACTTGTTCTCCTCGATCAAATGAACTGACCGGACCTCATGCCAATGGCCCGTCCCAGGTCGCACAGAGCCAGCCATTCCGTCCAAGATTTTGACCCTCCATTCACTTCCAACTCTCGATCATATGTGAATGAAGTTAGCTCCAAAGGATCTTAGGCATTCATAGGAGCTACCTAGAGCTAGTTTTAACAAGTGTGCACCACACCTAACTCACTAGACTCAACTAGGTCAAGCTACCCGTTCATACCCCCCCTTCATAGTACGACCAAAGGAAAAACAAAGTCCTAAACTACTCTAAGTGTCTCTTCAACTTCAATTGATACTTAGAACTAGTTATCCTTAACCTTGTCGTCCATCCTTTGAAAACCAAAACGATTTCCATCGTAGGGGCATGACAACCTCAATTGCCCAATCGATCTCCATTACCATGACCTAACTTAATTGCCTCTGCAAAACACACGTTAGTCATAGTAATCTTTTATTGACATTAATCACCGAAATCCACTTAGGGGCCTAGATGCTTTCAATCTCCCCCTTTTTGGTGATTGATGACAATACCACCTCGAGTATGTTATGGAATGAGGTTTTTGACGGGCTTGGTTCATATAAGCTTTTGTCGTTAAGAACAAAAGAGTTAGGCAAGCTTATATGACCCAAGCCAACACAATGTACTCAAAGGATATGAATTAAGCATGAGTACAAGTAACAAAGCTCATTTGCTTTGAAGTATAAATGCGGAAGCAAAAGCAAATGAGCATAACACAAGTGATATGACATATAGATAAAGCAAAGTAGAAATCACACATGTCAAATATCACAATCACGTAGATAGCACTATCACATATATATAATAGTATGCATGAAAGTAAACACACGAATGCATAAGTAATAGTGTATCACACAAATAGAACTCCAAATGTATATAATAGGCTAATACTACATAACTAGCTCCCCCTGAGACTACATACTCGAACACCCTCTCCCCCTTTGGCGTCAAACACCAAAACCTAGGGGTCGGTCGATGGGGCAGCAGCGGACGAGTCGGGCGCTGAAGAACGTGGGGCAAGCTGGAACCGGGCACCATCATCATCTGACCCTGAGCTTTGAACTGACTGACCCTCTGTGGCAGGAAGTGTCACTGAAGCAGTCTGGGTCTGAGCTAGGGCTGGTGCTGCCTATGAAGCTGCTAGTATGTCTATCGTAGGATCTGATGAGGCGACAGACGAGGGGAGCCTCTGAGTAGTCACAGCGACTGGGTCTACTGTAGATGGACCGGTAGAATGCATATGAGGCGGAGTAGGCATGCCGGTCAACTCGCTGAAGGATGCTCCAAGACTCCTGGAGACTGACGTGTCAGGCACGAATAGCGAGGAGGACTGCTCTGTGTGAAGCCCGTCTGAAGTGGAGTGAATCAGGGGCTACCACGGTGAGGCCAACCACCGGGACACTTGTACAAGAGGTGAAGCAAATTGAGCCGAGGTCGCCCTCGACCACAAGCCCATTGGGCTGAATAGCTGAGTCGCCGTGGTGGAAGCAGTGAGAGCAAGTCAGGCGAAGTCTATGGTCAGTGGGGCCCCAAGAGCTGTGACTACGTCTTGCATGAAACCCATAAGCCGCCGCCGCAAGAGTATCTCGCTGTTGATGCATCTGCTGCTTCTGCTGCTTGCTTTGCATGGCTTTCTTCTTGCCTCTGGAACTCGCCTGCCGAGTCTCAAATCGGGCAAAAGTAGTACTGTTGTCTCTGTGCTCGTCTATCTCAGTGTGTTCTGCGCATCCGCCAAGAATAGCAATGAGAGCGGGTCTGCTCATGCGGAGCAGTGGAGCAGAATCTGAGCTACCGGCCTCGCATCATGTCTGCGTGGAGGCATCTCGAGGAATAGGCGAGATAGTCATCGTCGAGCTGCCACATACTCGCCACCTCCTCTTTGTGCCTCTAGCTCCTCCTCCTTAGTGGCTGCAATCCCTCTGATGATCTCATCCTGCTGAGCTGTGGACTCTGGCACGTCGGGACGACGGCTAGGCTGTTTGGGTGCCTGAGGCATGGTATGTCTGATCCTCTGTGATGATTGTAAGCCGGGAATTCAGTGGTGGCACTGTATACTCATCCATCATACCAGGGGGCTTATCAAGCACTATTCTGCGGATAAGAAACATGATCCAGTGAGCATAGGGAAGCAGCCTGCGACCCTTGAATCCCTCAGCTATAGTATCCTCCATCTCTGAAAGAAGGAGGTCCCAGATATCAAATATTGTCTCTCATGCATGAGAGCATTAAGAAGCTAGAGTCAGTGGCGAGTCGACCCTCTCTATATCCCAACACAGGGGAAGCAAAGTCCTCCCCGATAATGGCCTCTAGCACTCTCACAGAGGAGTCAAGTCACCGGGGTTCCTGCTCGACCCCTCTCCAAAAGGCTCCTTGAAGCAATATCGCACTAAATCTGTAGGAGGCACCAACCCTCCATGTGGACGCCTAGGAGGCTCCTGCTGTCCACAACAGACCTCATGTATCTTGATAGGATGCTCCTGTAGCCTCAGTATCTCTCTGACCCTGCCACTCGTCACTCTGTAGTCTTTGCCTCTGAAAGCAAAGTGAATAAACATGTGATGTGGATCGATGAAGAGTGAAGCATAAAACCGACGAACCCAAGATGGTACATATATCCCCGTCCCATCCAATCAAATCATCGATCCCGCAAATATGACAAGTATGGTGAATGCTCTCTCCGGTCTTTGCCACAATGGACTCTATCGACAAACTCTCTAAGATCTTAACATCGCCCCAATCGTTGAGATAAGCATTGTAGAAATCCTCCTGCAGTTAGGCGTGTAGAAACCCTCACCGCTCTCTCATCCCTCCTTGGAGGAAACCAAACCTCAAACTCAACAAAACGCAATTCTTTGAACTCCGCTTTTGGCGGTGGCGGCCCTCAAGTCGAGGTGAACCACTTTGGAGGTGGACCACTGTGGTCTAGGTGGAGGATGTGATCCCTCCATCGTGTCGGCGACCTCGGCGAGGCCGGTACACGGGTCCGTCCCAGAGTGGCGGGCCGGGTGTGCCGCTCTATCTCCTCGGCTTCACAGGTCTCTGCCGAGGCTCTGCTTGTGGGGATCTAACTGCTGGCCGATGTGGACCCTCCTCAATGGCAACCCGTCGTCCTGCAAACATGGCGGTCCCAAATAGACTACCGTGGACGACGCTCAACCTCCTCAATCGCAGCTCTGAGTGCTGGTGAAACTGGCTGATCTACAATGACAACTCCGCTGCGGGCACCACCTCTCTCGGCACGCTCTACGGCCTCTGCAACAGCTGTTGCTCTTGCTGTCTCTGCATCAGGATACTTCCGCTTCTTGGATGTCACCTGCTTGGTTGACTTGCCCTTAGATCCGGTGGTCATGCGGCG